GCGCCCGGGGTTGTAAATTAATCCCCTTGGCGGGGAAACAGGCGGGATCAATTAACTTGCCGAAGTCGGCACACCAACAATATTTTAACCCCCGAAACCGGGACAAAACAGTCGTCAAAAACGACGCTTCCACTTTATCAACAGGGGGACATCGAATCCCCCCCCGCTTTTCTTTTCTTTTCCGCGAAAACAGGGGTCATCTAACCCCTCCAAAAACTCACAGAAAAACTCGACCATCTGCTGGCGACGCGCTCCCAAAAAATATCGTATCCTTTTACTTAAAACGATTTATCTTCACAAAACCAAAAACCTTTCCTAAACTGTCAAGAAGCACTAAAAGTACCAGTAAAATCAAATTACTTCTCCAAGCATGCTCCCCTCTTGTTTATATTTTTACAACCTTTCAAAACACCCGGTCTTCGGGAACAACAAATTCAGCCTTGTAAAAATTCAGCGAAATCGTAAAACCACCCTGTCTCCTGAGAAAAACATGACTAGTCCAAATTCAAAATAACGAAAAACACCAGCACCTGGTGTTTTCCGCTACCCAACATCTGGGATTCCTTGAAAATATTACCCAACCCTCCCTGTCGAATTTTCTGTTAAAAACCCCTGATTTTTGGGGTAACGACACAGTCCGAATTTTGCGTGCGAAGCGTTACGTTGTGCTCTCGAAATTTGTATTTTCCGAAATATCTTACAAGTCCGCGAAACTGTTGTGTATATTCTCCTGTCAAAAACTGTTGTGAATATTTATCTTGTAAAGCTTACCTGTTGAGTTGAACAAAGGCTTGCGCTGTTTGGGAGAGAATCCCTGGTCGGTTCGCGCACCGGCCAATTGCTGTGTTGAATTTATTCTCATATTTTCCATTTTTGTCAAATTCTTCAGTTTACATCTGCCACGTAATTATCTTTTAAGGTGTTCCAAATCATAATCAATAAGCTACATCAATAACATTTATCAAGGTGTACGGCTTGAACATCTTTTCTAATTTCTTCTGATTAAAACCGTACAANCTTCGCATCCACTCTGTGCAAACTGTTCGAGCCTGACCAGGACTGGTCTCTGGAGCCATTCTGTGGCCAATCTCACTGCTATTTGGACGAGAAGGTCGGTCGTCTCTTCGAAGTTGTGTTGGACTGTGGACCCAAGCCAACCAACCCTGATGCCTGCAAGGTAAAACAATTTCCTATCGTGAATTTTTTTTTTTAAGTTCCCCGATCATTTTTGTAAATTCGAAAAAAAAGAAGCTCGCTCGCTATATTCAGGATTAAGCTTTTCGTTTTCTACTTTATTTAGATTCTCTATACTTTCAATATAACTCTTGAGAATAATCATTGGTATTCAGCACTAGAATTCGAACTCACGGAATTATCAGGTTGCCCTAAATTCTGTTTTCATCTGAGTCACGAAATGGGCAGTGTCACACGCTGTAAATTTGTCATTGTGATTGAAACCCCATATTTTTTAAATGCGAAAAGAATGTGTAGACGTCTGCTGAACGTGACAGCATGTAATATACAGTACATAAACCCAAATGAATTTTAACGTTCTCAAATCTTTTTTAAATACATTTTTTACTTCGAAAATTGAAGGTTAATGATTCAATTATTTTTCAGATCCTGACTCCAGCCAACGAAACTGCAGTTTTCCCCAAGTGCTGCGACGTCTACGACACCGAAACCTGCAAGTTCCCCGAGTTCAACGCACCAGAGGGCGCTGGCAACAAGCAGGCTCCCCCAGAGGGCGCTCTTCAGGGTCGTCCGAAACCCGCTGCCTAAACAAATCACTTATTGAAACCAGCTTTTGATGAAACCAAAACTCGTCCAATTTCTGATAATGCGGCCGTTTCCTAAAAAAAAAAATTTACTTCACTCTTCGACTCGGCATTGACAAAAAAAAATCTTGCTGGTGTCTGGAGATCTAGAACATGAATGAGACGCTAGTGAGATTCTTTATTTGGGGGACTTGTTTTTTGTTACACGCAGTCTGGCTGATTGTATAAGAAGGGGCTGGAAAGGAATTTTCTTGGGTGAAATTCGGAAGTGTTTTTTTTTTCTTTTTTTTTTGTAGGGATGCGCAAAAAGATATCGTGAAAATATAAAAAAGGGAGTCTCGGTACCTACTGAATGTCCTGTTCTCTTTTTTTTATGATTCTTTCTTATATACTCAGATCTGGAGCTGACGGGTTTGTATTGCCTGTCCGTTGTCATGGAGATACACGTGATACTGGCACTGGGTGTCGGGATGTCGAGCACTGTTTTCTCTTGGCCCTGTTTAGTTTTTCTGGCCCAACCACGGCTTTCTGACCTCGAAAAGTGCATTCGAATACTTCTTTGTGCATACGAATAACAAATATTTTGTTAGAATTCCGAGTGCAACAAATTGTGTTAACTGTAATTAACTAAATTAACTAAGCGTAATGGGAGGATATGCTTAAAATCTGAGCTGTGCAGTTGATTAGTTTCGTTCCTCCGAGCAATTAAAAGTTAAACGTGCGGAAAAAGAGAAGATGCCCATCAATTGATTTTAATTAACAAGTAAAGATAACGTGAAATGTGTAAATTTATACTAATTTTATAATGTACATAGACTTCATCTAAACGAAGAGGGGAAATTCGGAAGCTTATGGAATGTGCGGAATTTTTTCTTGACACCAGCGGTAGTGTCGATTTCCCTGAGAAGGGACAAATAGCTCGAGTTTACCGAAATTGGCGCGTCTCGGGACGCGCCCAGGGCTGTAAATTAATCCCCTTGGCGGGGAAACAGGCAGGATCAATTAACTTGCCAAAGTCGGCACACCAACAACATCTTAACCCCCGGAACCGGGACAAAACAGTCGTCAAAAACGATGTCTCCACTTTCTCAAACAGGGGGACATCGAATCCCCCTTTTTTCTTTTCTTTTCTTTTCTGCGAAAACAGGGGTCATCTAACCCCTCCAAAACTCACAGAAAAACTCGACCATCTGCTGGCGACGCGTCCCAAAAAATATCGTATCCTCTTCCTTAAAAACGATTTATCTTCACAAGACCAAAAACCTTTTCTAAACTGTCAAGAAGCACTAAAAGTACCAGCAAAATTAAATTACTTCTCCAAGCATGCTCTCCTCTTGTTTATATTTTTACAAGCCTTCAAAACACCCGGTCTTCGGGAACAACAAATTCAGCCTTGTAAAAGTTCAGCAAAATCGTAAAACCACCCTGTCTCCTGAGAAAACATTACGAGTCCAACTGCAAAAAATAGTGAAAAACACCAGCACCTGGTATTTTTCGTTACCCAACATCTGGGATTCCTTGAAAATATTATCCAACCCCTGTCGAATTTTCTGTTAAAAACCCCTGATTTTTGGGGTGACAACACAGTCCGAATTTTGCGTGCGAAGCGTTACGTTGTGCTCTCGAAATTTGTATTTTCCGAAATATCTTACAAGTCCGCGAAACTGTTGTGTATATTCTCCTGTCAAAAACTGTTGTGAATATTTATCTTGTAAAGCTTACCTGTTGATTTGAACAAAGGCTTGCGCTGTTTGGGAGAGAATCCCTGGTCGGTTCGCGCACCGGCCAATTGCTGTGTTGAATT